AGTGAAGCCCTAGTACTGAGGAGACCAGCACTGGATCCAGCACTCCAGATGTGGCTTCACTAATGCTGACCAGAGGGAAAGGATCACCTCCCTCAACTTGCTGGCGACATGCCTCTTAATGCAGCCCAGAATACCATCAACACTCTTAGCAGAAAGGATGGTCCTGGCTAATGTTCAACTCCACAAGGAACCCTGAAGCTTTTTCTGAAACGCTGAGTTGAAAAGTTTTTTTTTTGTTTGTCTGTTTCTGTTTTGTTTTGTTTTTTTTCAACATACATTTAGAACTGTTTTCTTGTAGTTAGTGAAAACCAGTCACAAAGGACAAATCCATAAACCATGTGTACAATTGACAGGCAAGAATTGTAAGTATTGTAATTCAAGACACCTCAAAGTATATGAAACTATTGTAAGACCACATCAAGTGTAATACTGTCCCCCTGTCTAAACCACCTTCACTATTACTTGCTGTGATAGGATTGTGAAAGTGAAAGATTGAATAGCTTCTTTCCTATTTGTATGAACAATAGTTCACTAAGAGTTCAATAAAAAATGTCTTTTTGTCATGAATAAACTTTCTGAGCTGGGGCCACATATGGGCACTTCTCAGATCTTTATTGCAAAGAAAGGAGTGAAAGAGTGAAATGGAGCTGATGCTGGGAAAGATAGGTAAGGTTTGGATCTTGTATCGAAAGCTGTCATATGTAGGAAGGAGAACATGCTTAAACAGCAAAATGGTACAACTTGAGTAGGGAAAATAATGTAATCTCTGGATTATTCTGTGACTGTGTGGAAAAGTCTTAAATTATAAATGTTGTTTGTATATGCAAAACGTTTTTATTCCATCAGTCATAAGATGAACAAGGGTAAGTCAACCAGAACTTCCTATTACTGCTCAGATATAATTACAGTTCAGTGTAAGGGTGTAAAGTCCAGAGTGATTAAAAATGAAAATAAAAAAAAAAATGAAAGAATTATTATTTTCTCCTGCACAGTAGGAAGCAGATGCTGTGTCTCTAAAATGCAAATAAATGTCAATTTGTGAAGGTGTTGTCCAAACAATGTTCTTCTAAAGCAGAGATGCATTATATTATATTTAGTGTAAAGAATAGCTAGGTCTTTTATCCAATCTCTGGAAATGAGAAAACCCCTTCTAAATGAAACTATCCATTATTTCTCAAGGAATAATAGGAAAATATTCAACCGTTGCTCCTCAGGCATTCTTTGTTCTTTCATTTAATTGTCTTTTCCACATAAAGGCACTTTAGCAAGACAAGGCTGGTGCCTTTGGGAAATAAAAGATGATTGGGACATTGTAAAATCAGGCTCAAAGAAATTCAAGAAGAGCAAATCAGTCAGAATAGAACAGCTATACTGCAGTACCAGTAGCCTTAAGAACAAAAGTGACAGAGAATTATTTATACAGACAAAAACCCCAGTCTTAAGCAGTCTCAAACAATGTTGACATTGCTACCATCTATCTCTTTGTCACTAAGAAAAATCATCACTTTCATTTAAAGGACTTACAATCTAGAAAGAAGAAGAGCAGGGAATTAGTTCTTCAGTAGAAATAATAACTATGGAAAGCAATCTTTTCAAGTGTAAAGAAAAAAAGTGGCAAGGATTGTGTGTACATGTGATGAGACGGAGCTTTGAATCTCCCTTTTTTTCTTGTGGTTCAAATAAAACAGGATTTGAAATCAATACACTTGGAGATTGTGAAGCAGAATTAGAGATAAAACCCGATAAAAATAGAGAGATAAGAACATAAGGAGAATTTTAAAAGAAACATAAAAAATACTTTACAAAAAGTAAATTTATGTTAACTTCATTAAATGAAATATGATAGGGGCACATTTCACCCCAACAAAGTCTTAATTAAATTCTATGGGGAGTAATCAACAAAACAGAAATAAAAGCAGAGAGTGGAGGCCAAATGCCTGCCTTGCCTAAAGGACACTAGGGATGTTTGGACACTGACGCCAGGGAGCTGAGGGACCAACTGTGAACATGAGGCCAGCGGTCTGCCCTTCCCAATAGCTGCATTTGGCGGTGTGAGCAGCCTTTCGTCTCCTTAGCTGGGCCACCCCAGGAGACCAGACCAAGACTGCTCAGGCCAAGGGGACGGGTAGCAGAGCTGGGTTTGCACTGGGCTTGGCAGAGCCGCGTGCAGAAGTATGCCGAGTTCCTTCCAGTTGAAACCAAGAATGAAAAGAAAAACAGAAAAGTAACAGAAAGGTCAAAGAACAGAATAAGCCTTGCTTCATCCTTCTCTTAAGCTGCTGAAAATCTGTAGGCATGAGTCCTCTTCCCCTCTGGTCATCCAAGACCACTCCTGTAAAGAAGGAGTCAGCCAATACACTAACGGGTAAAAATCTCCTCTTAGCATTCAGGGGTGCCAATTGAAGCCTATGGGTTCTGTGAGATCCTTTTTTTTTAAGAAAGGAATGCTGTGGAATGGTTTCTGATTTTTGGAGAACAGTTCAGTACTTCAGAAGGGAGATGGGAACCTGTGCTGCTCTGCAGGTGAGGCAAGACACTGACCTGCCTTTTCTCCTTGAAAGGCATACTGTCACCTCCATCTACGAATGAGAGAGCACATATTTGTTTGAAAGAGAAAAAGAAATATCTCTGTTTACTCAAGATATTATTGGGCCGCTGTCTTTTTTAGAGAGTAAGTTTTGGACTTGTTTAGAGAGAGAATTGCAGACATGTTCACAGTCTAAAAAAAGCATCACTAATCCTTCATTATGGTGCTAGCCCAAAAAAAGTTTGTCATAACATCACTTCATTGAAAATCCTAGCACCTCAAGTTTTAAATGTTGTTGTTGTTTTAATTAACAAGTCTGGTCTTTGATTCATTCACCAAGTCTGAATTTGGATAATAAAATAAATGATGATGATTTCAGAAAAGATTAGCTTCCTCTTTGAAAAATTGTATGGTACAATTGCAACTGCATGATTTATTTAAAGTGGAAGATTTGGGGGAAGTAAAGGTTGCTGTATTAATATTGGCAATTTGACCTCTGAAATAAAAAGTTTCTGTAACTGTGGACAATGAGAGATCATAGAATCATAGAATCACTAGGGTTGGAAAAGACCTGCAAGATCGTCTGGTCCAACCATACCCCTACCTCCAATATCACCCACTAAACCATGTCCCTAAGCACCACGTCCAACCTCTCCTTAAACACCCCCAGGGATGGTGACTGCACCACTTCCCAGTGCAACCCGTTCCAATGCCTGACTGCTCTTTCTGAGAAGAAATGTGTCCTCATTTCCAACCTAAACCTTCCCTAGCACAACTTGAGGCCATTCTCTCTAGTCCTATCACTAGTTACCTGTGAGAAGAGGCTGACCCACAGCTCCCCACCACTTCCCTTCAGGTAGTTGTAGAGCATGGGCTGATACTCAAGATTTATTTAGTTTATTTATCATCTCCCAGTGGCAGGTTTTCTGCTACTACACTGTATTTTTATCCCATTTTTCAAAAGTAATTTTGTGCTAGGTAGATTGAGTACTATATATATGGGACATAATTCCTAAAACATAATTCCTTCTCCTACGCAACAGCTGTTCTTAAAGCAGATGACATTTCAAAACCAGTGAAACCATATTAAAATCAGAGGGCTGTTCATGACTCTTTTAACATTTTTATTTTTTTGCAGAATTTGCGGATGGTCTTTTAGAACTTTTAAATGACTCCTTAGTTCATCTGGAGGGCAGAAACTCTTCCTTTTCTTTTCCTTTCTCTAGCAATATTAATAGAGCAGAAACTTGGGAACAGTCTGACTCATACAGAAGGAAGTCCAAGTGTATGAGGTCTGTGCTGCTGGCAGTAAGGTCCCAGCACTGTTGTCTCTGACAACTGACCTCAGTAATGTCAGGAATATATAGAATTTGGTTCACAAGAGGTTAGCTTAATCATACAGCTTGAGATACACTGTTTTGCCCATGTTGTGATTACTGCACACCTTTTCAGATTCTCCTTGTTCACGTCTAGGGAAACCTAGACTTCCTAATTTTTTTGTCTTCTGTTTGAGTTAAGAATTCAGGGCTTCTGTGGACATGAAGTTTTGAAATTGGTGGCAAAAGAAAAGGGTAATTCAAGAATAAAAGGAGTTGAAAAATCTGGTGTCTAAGGGGCTTTGCATCTAGAGGGGTTCGTGTTCCCATGGAAGTTTTCTCTAACAGGTGTAAAACACAAAGACTGGTTTAACCTAATGACCTAGTAGAAAATGAATATAGGAAATAAAGTAGGTTGCGACACTATAAAACCTTTAGGCATTTTAGTAGGCCTGAGAGCACTTTCTAAGTTAAGATTTTTTAGTTAATGGTTTTTGTCTACTCCAGGACAAGAGAGATATGAAGGTAAGGCAGATTAGCAATATAAACAAAGCTGAGAGCTTTGATTTCACTTCAGGTGGATTGGGACAAGATCAAACCACTTCAGATCACCCCCAGATTTTAAATTTTCAGCATTTGTATGGTCTCCAAAACCATAGCCCTGTGTGAGGTGCCAGGTTGCCTGCTCACATTCAAAGCCGATGCTGGGTTTGTGGGCACGTTAGCCACAAGCTCCTTGCAGTCAGTAGCCCATACACAGCATTCATCAGATGATGGTTTGTATCTAGGTCTACGTCTGTCTCCATTACACAACAAATAGCACTCACTGGATCATCTCTGACCCCCGTTCTACGGTGAGATGGGTCACAGTTACCAAGCGTGGCATGGGATTTCATACAATACTGCCCATACAGCTCTGTCCCCGTGGTGCATCCCCCCCCAAAGGCCCTTTCTGACAAACTCCAGCACAAGCCCAGGTTGTAGAAAGCAGAACATTTTATTGAATAGCCATAACAAATTAAACTAGCTGCATATAATTGCTTCGGAATATATCTGTAAAAAGTGCAGTTCTCTTCAAAATGTATTTGTGGAGTTTTTCTCCTTCAGTGAAGTTTTTCCTCAGCTTTAAGCATTTGTCCTGTCTGAAGATGGCTTCTTCATGCCTTTTCATAAACTCTTTTGCTGGTAACATTATTCATGGTGCATTCCTGAAAAAAAAGAAAAAAAGTAAATTTAATCAGCTTTTAAGTCTCATGGCATGTCTGTTAGTCAGAAGGTAGAGAAATGCTTATCCACTGAAAGCCAGTGTAAAAATGAATTTGCATTTCTCCTCCTTCAAAAACAATTGCCAAAACAATGAAACTCAAGTTTGAGTGCTTCAGAAAGAAAAGTCTAAAATATTTCTTAGAAGTATAGAACTGAAAGACTATCAGTTTCAGCTTCCTCCAGATTTCTAATCCCCCCATTTTATAGCCCCCAAAGAAGGCTCTTGGAACTTTCATGGAGGGTGAGTGGACTCTGGACTTGGGCAGTAGTCTCTTTTCCTCTCACCTTTTGTAGCTGTGGCTTGTGTTCTTCACACACGTACACAACACACACACAGAGTCCTACATGACTTGCTGCTGCTTGTGTCAGCCTCTGCATGTCAGGCTCTGTCCTCATCTTTTTTTTCTACTAGATCAAACTGTTTTCTTCAATCTTTCCTAATCTTTCCTAAAGTTGTTATTAACAACTATTTCTATTTATTCTCCTTTGCTCTTTATCCAAATAAATTTAAATACTAAATTTGTGGACACATTGTTTTCTCTATGGGAGGGAGAACTCTTCAGGAATTTCATGTTCATTTATAGTTTTGTAACATGTAGGAATCATAGCTGCCTTTCATGAACACATTTTTAGTCCCCTCCCAGATATTTCAAAGCATCTTTTCTAAAAGTGGAGAGCAGCTCTGGGAAACCCCAAACTGCAGCTGAGCCTCACAGGCACCAAGCACAGTCTGCCCAGACAATGCCAACTAAAGGAGACCTAGCTTTCTTTCTTCCTTTCTTTCTTCCTTTCTTTTTCTTTCTTCCCTTCTCTCTCTCTCTTCCTCTCTCTTCTGGAGTGGAACAGAAGGAGCATTTTGTGTCAGCATAGAGCAAGTGCACATAATATAAGCTTCGCTAACGCATCCTCTATTCTGTACAGGACTTTAAAACTAAGATATATAAAAGTTTCCCTAATAGGGATGGTTTATTTGCCTTACTCTTCCCTAACCATGTCTTGCTCTGAATGGAAAGCAAGCACCTCTATACCATAAGTTTAACAGCCACATGCTCCAGACTTATTCAGAGAAACTTCTCACTCAGTGTACAGACTATTCAGATGTTTTCATTCCCCATATTTGAGTCCAATGTAATACATCCACCAGACAAGAATTCTGCACAAGGAATTCTGTGATTAGACAACAAAAAAGAACTCACCACCACCAGGTTTCCATCCACCACTTTCCTCTTTATGATAGTCTCTTTGCCATCCCACTTCTGCACCTGCTTCAGTGAGCCATTTTCTAAGGTTATGACGTTCTGTTGAAGAAAAAAGATAAGTGTGGCCTTTTTATTGGGGTGCTATGGACTGAAGAGAAGACTGTTTCCATGTCCAAGCAGTCATAAAGTAAAAAGGATTCTTTGCATGCTTACCTCTGAAGGCAGTCATTTCAACAGTGAATGTCAAAACCATGACTCCTCCTGCTCTGACATCCCCTTTGAGAGATTTAGTTGGAAAATGCCATTTTTAGACTCACCTTTGTTTTTCTGTCATCTGCTGTGGTCTCATCAAACTCTTCACCCAACTTGAAAGAGATCTCTGTATTTTTGAAGGTACTTTCTGATTTGATGGTTATCACATCACCATTTATGCTGATGGTTACATTGGGCTTGGCCACACCAGCCATTTTCCTGGTAGCAAATCCCACACCTGCAAATAAGAAAGGACACCATGAAAGTTTTATCTCCTAGTTAGTGTTCTTATCTTATATGGAAAAAGAAAAAAAAAAAAAAAAAAAAAAGACTTCAGTGTTACTTTTCATTTTCTGAATTATTTATTAATCCTATGTTGCAGAAGTTCTTTTGTGACATCCAACTAGCTGTAATGTTTATAGACCAAGCCAAGTGGGATGACATAAGGAAATTGTCTTCTGTCATTGACAGAGTAGCAAAAACAACATTTTGAAGACTGACACAAAAATTTAATGCTAAATATTCACATATGTACTTGCTCCATATTACCACAATGGTTTATACACTAATTTGTATGCTAACTATAGCTAAAAACAAATAAGCAGAAATATATGAGTTTCTAAGCCACAAAACCAACCAAACAAAAAACACTTAAATCACAGATATATTTGTCAGTGGCTGTGCTGAATAAAAGGAAATGATTAAGAAATAGCTGGCAACAGTTGTCCTGATTAAATCTGGGCTAAAGATTAAGAGTGCTAGAGTCTCGCTGAAAGCTGTCCGAGTGCTGCAGAAGTCTCAGTGAGTATTTTACTCATAATCTCCAGACAACACCCCCAGATTTTTAGCATGTATGGATCCAGTCAGTGCAAGTTACCTCATACATCTCCTACTCTACAAGAATATGAACACCTTTTAAACCCTATTTTAATTCTAACCGTGAAGTTTACACCTTTAGAGACGAGTGTTATTCCTCAAATCTTTTGCAAGTATCTGCATGAATCCATGCAAATTTATTTGTTAATATTCACCAGAGGCAGCCACAGAGCTTCATTCACTCTAAACAGGCAATGACAATTAGTCAGTGTCCTAGTCCAAGAGCAATATAAGTGAAATTTAGGTATGTTGCTCTTAGACATGGAGAAGCTTGCTGCATTCTAGCATTATACCACTTTGTATCTCCAAAGGATAAAAGCAAATCCACATAAAACGCTGCAGTAAGGTGTTTTACTTCCATTTATAGCACTACTAAGTAGGCATGCATAGACTTGGCTTACCTGAAACTATTCCTTGCAATTAAGGTTTTTCTTAAATAACAGGAATGTGACAACACTAATCCAAACAGCAAAGGTCTCCAGTATAACACTGTCTAATCAAACTAGTTGGACTAAAAACCCCTTGATAAACAGCAGACCCAGAAAAAAAAAAAAAAAAAGAGTAAAGAATAAAGTTCAAATTCAGCATTCCTTCCCTTTCCCAGATATAACAACTCCAAAATACAATTCTCACCCAGCTCTTTCATATAGTCCTCAAAGTTTTCACTAGAAAGAAGCTTCCAGGTACCCACAAAGTGGTCACACATTTTGTCAGGCTGGATAGGAGTCTTCCACAGGATCAAGCAGAAATGCAAGACGGGAAGATAGTATGAGCTCAAGGAGATGAGGAGTTATCTTTAAAAAGGAGCCTTGGCCACATGATGCTCTAGGATGACCAATGAAGAGGGAGTCCCAGTGCCCAGAGTTTTCCTTCCTCCCCTGCCCCTCCTTTGCCAGTAGGTCATAGTGCTATTATTCATATGCCCTTACTGGTACAAAGATCACTGTCATGTTTTTATTTAATTATTTTTATAATTCAAGAATGCTCCACCTTAAAGACAAATATTTAAGTCATATTGTCTATGAGAAGAAAAAAGTTAGATTCAACCCACAGAGGGCATGTTCTCTCCGATATTCTTTTCTTTCATTTCAGTCTTCCGTATCAAATGAAAATTCCTACACTGCAAGATCTAAAGTGCTTGTTGAGATAATTAAATTTGCTTTTTGCATAACTACAGTCTGAGATTTTCTCCAAAGAGGCACAGAACTACATGAAGAAGTTGATGTGGGGGCAGAAAGAGGGAGTGCTGGTGGCTGTAGAAGGGTAAAGATATAAAGCTTCTTCCTCGACTTAGATCTCCATAAGGTTGCACCACGCTAACCAATTGACCGCCAGGTCTGTATTCTGCTTTCCTGTGATGGAGAGGGGACATAGAGGTCTATGAAAAGCAAAGCAACAGAACAGGTGATTTCTCTCCCATTTGCTTGTGTGCCTTCTGGTGACCTGTATCCCAATGACTAGCATCATGACTAGTTAAAGCAAAAATCTAGGCTCTGGTATCAGCCTACTGAAGGTCTCTGGATATGTAATTTGCTTTCTGTTTGTACTGTTCAGTTAATAATCAGTTTGAGGTAAGGTGTGTACAGCACCAGCATAATGAGGTCCCAGCGTGACTGATCCTCTAAGTCCTGTTGTAGCTTGGATCACAAAAAAAAAAAAAAAAAATGCATCAGAAAACAGTCAAGCAATTTCTTAGGCTTTCCTACTGGCTGTAACATGCTATTTCAGTTGTAAAAACCCACACATTCCAGCCCCAGCATTTCTCATTACGTGGATTTCCTCAGTGGAAATACTCTGCTGGTGATTAGGCAACAAATGTGTTGGTCTACATATTTTGGTATTTGCTGACTTTGTAAGTAAATGTTTTATATAAAGATTATTTACATAGGATTGTAAGACCATAGGAAAATTCAGGCAGGAAGGAAGGTCTCTGGTGCAGCCTCCTGCTCAGGCAGAGCCAGCTTTGAGCTCAGACCAGGCTGCTCAGAACTGTGTCCTGTGGGGGCCTGGAAGCCTCCAAGGATGGTGTTGCACAGCCTCACTGGAAAATTGTGCCACCCTATCCAGTCCCAGTGGAAAGGGTCTCCTCACCTCCAGTCTGAACCTTTCTTCTTTCAACTCCTACCTTCCTCCTTTTCAACTCCTATCTCTTGTTCCCCCACCACGTAACACTGTGAAGAGCCTGGCTCCAGCCCCTTGGCCACACTCCACAGGTGTTGGAGGCTGTTGTAAGCACCCCCAAAGCCATTTGAATGTGTTGCTCTCTTGTCCCTTTAAGACAAGAGGCCTGCAGGTCTTTTGTGTGAGAAATATATTTTTAACTCCTTCTTCATCCTATTTTTTTCTCTGAGAATAATTAAATCTTAGGTTTGGCCCATTCTTTTTGAGTCTTTGCATATTTACTGACTTTGGGTTAACTCCAAAACAAATAAAATAATAGTCCAATTATGGAGATCCCTGATTCCTTTCCTGATTGGTTTTCTCACAGTATCACATGCTCAGATCCTCTTTAGGAGGAAATTCTGAAGGATCCTGAAGTTTGTGTCATTATCTTTTTTTTTTTTTTAATGTTTTGTTTATATTTTTTCGTAGGGTTATTGGATTGTGTGAGAAGTCTGTAGAAACCTGAAAACAAATCTAGTAAAAATACAAGTTCTTGAAAAAACTAGGTGAGGTATGCTTCAGTGGCTCTTATAGAAAGGATGTGAACTTGCTGAACTCAGTTCCTGCACTTACTTTTCTTGCCTTTTGGGAACTGTTCTGTGTGTGGCTTACTGCAATTAGGCATTCATTTCTTTGGAGGGGAAATAGGGCTTTTATATTCAAAACTATAGCCTGAAAGCGGGGATTGGCATTGCTTTGGTGTTAACAGCTGCCTGCAAAACTTATGCTGCTGGAAAGGGTTTTTTTGGGAAAGAGGTGAAGCACCTGCTCCATGCAAATCAGTTCAGAGCATACAAGCTCACCCTCCCTAGGCAGTCAATTACTTTCACCTATTTAAAGTGAATCTGAGCTATTTGTAGACATCTTGCAAACATGATGACTCAAAAATGCAAGCAGAAGAAAACCAGCTTGTGGGTTGCCCTGCTTGTTCACTTCAAAGCAGGCAGCTATCTGGAGCAGGCTCATGGACTCTCACTTGGGAATTATCCTACCCACGGTCCTCCTCTCTCTTGAGAGAGACTTCAGCGACAAGAGATAAAAGCTTGAGGCATTGATGTCATCTAATACAGATCCTGCCTGCTGTCTGGGGCAAAGGCCTCACGTAATACAACTGTGCTGGTGAAGACGCAGCACCTAATGGTCATGAAGAAATCAGTGCAGCTTTTGAGCCTGGAAACTTGGGAAAACCTCGGATTTGTGTCTTTTGTAGAAGTCTCTTGCCAGCAAGAGCTGGGAAGCTTGGCTGAACAACTTTGTGGTCATTAGCAGTGATGGGATCAAATACCATTAAAAGCAAGGGCATCTTTAAAAGTGTAGAAACCTTCAAAATAGGAGGAAATTTTGGAGAAACCACATCAGGTTCAAGATAAAGATTTTTTTTTTTTTTTTTTTTTTTTCCAGAAATGAGCACTATAGTGACCTCCTTCTGTCTCTATCAGAAGTACAGGAGAAGCAAAGTCACTTTCCATGTGGGAAATAGTATGCTTATTTCAGTAGAAGTCACTTTGGGCAGCTTTTGAAAGAGGGCTGTGACAAAACCTTTGTGTTTCCAATATGCATGGGTTTAACAAAGTAAAAATACAGCTTACTCTCCAATGTGGAAACATGAAGTAACAAAACACAGTACTAACAGGAGACATGATCTGCTTCCTTCTCCTCTGCTCTGCAGAACAGTCCCCAGCAGCAAACTGATGTTCCCCATGCACACATGGCTGTTCCCTCCCACCTCACTTAGGACCTGGGCACTATTGCAAATGGTCACTGTGCTGAAGAAGTCATATTCTACCAGCAGAAAATTAACACTATTATTTTCTTGAGTATCCTACTAGCACATATCTTCCTGGCTACATTGCTGGGCTAGGAGATTTGGAGACCTCAGACTTTTAATGATGCTGGGTTCTTGTATTTCTTCCTGCATCAACCTGTAAGTACTCAACATGTTTGAAAAGGTTTCCAGTATCTGAAGGTAGGACTGCAAAAACTGAAACATCTAAAAGGTGTTTCTGAAACACTGAACTAAGCTTGTGGTAATGTCAAAAGCAGAAATGAAATCTTGTAACTCCAAGACATAGTAAGATCAAGCCCAAAACAAATCTGGTAGTTAAGACCATTAACTTGCTTTTAAAATATGAATGCTTACATTTCTGAACTTGTTTTAAAGAAGAAGAAAGCAGATACCATTGGAGGGAATGGACCCTTGCCTTCACCGCGTTCTCGTTGAGAGAACTTCACCGAGTCTTCGTAGGAGACTGCTGTTCCTAAGGAAAATATTGACTTCTCATACATATACATACTAATACTAATACTCAGACTAATATAACCTAACATAACCTAACTCCATGACTTCTGAAGGTTTGTATGAGATCTTGTTTTGCTGGCTATAATGTAGACAATACAGATTTTTCATGTTTCTAACTTCTCACCAACTGTCTTTATCTGAAGGACAAGTTTAAAGGTGTCTAAAGTTTCTTATGCTTAAACCTGTCTAACTTTTTTCTTATACAGTCACAATTTTGCATCTGGCAATGAGGTATTTCCTCCTGAGAGTCTATAATGAAAGTCAGCCTTTCTCTGACTCCCTCTTTGGTTTTGTCTGTGAACTTCATTTCCCTGGACTTAGCTCCCAGTTAGTCATATCAGATCTCAACTCTGCAAAGGTTCTGGCTCAAGTTAGATAGGTAAAACCAAAGTGACTTCAGCTGTCATCTTATTAAATGGCTCCCACCTCCTGGAAATCAGGCAGGCATCCATTCTTTTCCTACAGGCTGATGGAGAACTGAGAGAATAACATGAACTTTTTGGCTCCTGGAATTCCCTCAGACCTTCATTTTTCTTTCCACAAGTGTTGACAGTCCCACGAGAATAAAGTGTATCTGCTGTTTTAAAGTTTGGGAGTATCTCAGGAAGTTCTACAGGATAACTAGAGCCTCTCTTTGTGCTTTAAGTCAATAATAACATTGAATACACAAAGCACCAAAAACCTTTAACAGATGGTTGTTAGGATGTAAGTGAGAAGAAGCATTTTGACAGTGCCAAACCCAAAGTCTTTACTGGCTAGCTAAAGAAGCTCATTTTTAATAGCATGGAATGAAAATCTTAAAATTTACATGTTAGCCTGAATCACTTTTACTTGCTGTAGGTAGCGTGTGTTCCACTTGCTGCATACATGAACCCTAGTGAACACTGCTCTTTCCCTGATTACTGGCCAGTCTTCACAATGAATATAGCTACTGTGGATGTCTTTCAATGCTATGATAAAGTGGAATGCATCCATTTAGAATCCTCCCACTGCTTTATTTTTATTTTTATTTTATTTTATTTTATTTTATTTTATTTTATTTTATTTTATTTTATTTTATTTATTTCCTTGCTTGGTGTGTCTGAGCAAGCTGAGGAAGACTTCAAATAAAGATGAAGGACTAATGCATTTTGGTAGCTTTTAATATCTTGTAAGTTTGAAATACTCTTCTCAGTGGCTGGCCTTCTTTTGTAATGGCTGACCTCTTCCAAAGGAAGAAGCTTCCCAGAATTTTGCTTCTTGTAATAAAGTTAAAGAAAGAATGAGG